GTGGTGATTGCTACATTGGAGAAACGAAACGTCATATCTCTGATCGTGTCCGCGAGCACAAGTCAGATCTGAAACACGGCAAAACTGATTCTTCCGCCGTTGCCGATCATTGCTACAATGCTGTGGGCTCTCATGAAATTGTATTTTCCGAGACCAAGGTGCTCTGCAAGCCTCCTGGCTACCATCAAAGGTTTGTACACGAGGCCATCCAAATATACAAACACAGACATAATTTCAACCGTGATGATGGGTACAAACTTAGTAATCATTGGAAAGATGTTATCTACCATGCAAAAAATATTTAACTACACATTTTTTGGACCATCTTATCTGACAGGTACTATTTTACTTTACTGAGTGTTAACATCCCCAGCGTTTAACAGTACTCTCTTTATTGTCAGCCAACACTGGTATAAAGATGGGCATTTCCGTTTCTTTTCTATCATGTACATCCACAGTGACTTGCGCACAAACACGTCCACGCCGAGGACGCCCACGAGTACCTCGCGCCCTCTTTTAGCCCCCCCCCCTCCCGATACGTTCCATTCATTGGCTACCACATTCTGATAAGCTCCTCCCCCGCTCTCCTCCCCTAAACTTGTATTTAAGGGCTTGCATCTTGAATCCCTGCCTCACTTGATGCAGCAAATCTGGCTGTGACGGTCCCACCTGATGACGGAGACTTGTGTTGCCTCTGAAACGTCGTGATTTTATTGTTTTGTTTTATTAATTTTAATTTCATTTTTTTACCTACGTGACTTTACCGAAAGAACTAAGAGTATGGACCCACTAAGCTGCTTCAGAGCACTTTTTCAGAAGCGACCAGGCCATCACAAATGATTGCTCAACTAAGAGGTAGATCACATAGAAATGTATAGCAGCCAAATACGTGATGTTGATTAAAAATGTGGAGGAGAAAACCGGAGGACCCGGTGAAAAATCCACGTAACCACGGTGAGAGAGACATGCACACTCCAAATATACAGAAGGCGTTGGGGTTCGGATCGAACCCACTCCTCCTGCATATCAGGCAAGGGAGTTAACATCTTGCCACCGTGGCGCCCCTCAAGGTATCTCCAACCTGAAATCTGACATTGATGAGCCGATGACCCAGCTTTGATGGCCTTTGGAAATTTTATGGAGGAGTTACAAAATCATCTACAACAGGACTTCAATAATCAACTCACACCATTGGAACCTCATTTGCCAGTAAAAAATATGATAATTGTTTTTTTACCCTTCTATCTGGCAACAAAACTGACACATTTTTTACAAGGAGTCATGTTTGCATAGACCACAATACCTGCCGCCATAATGCAAACAAAAAACATAACTCTGATAATATATGCATTGTCCTTGAAGTTGATTGGTCCACACTCGAGACAGATTTCTTTAGAGCCTAGTCTCACACAGTTTTGTTGCCAGATAAAAGGGTAAAAAAACAATTATAATATTCAACTCATGCCCTAAAACTGGTCATCAACACGAAAAAAAAGACCAATGTAAATGTATTCTTCGGCTACCCCAAACCTGTCTTGAAACCTATGGAGTCAGGGTCGGGTTTGAACCCACAACCTCCTGTATACCAGGCGAGGTAGTTAACATCTCCTAGCCACCGTGTCGCCCCCCCCCCCTAAATGTCGTCTACTACTGCCTCTTCAGGAGCTCTGAGCACACGGAGGTGGCTCCCAGATCTTATGGAAATATTTCCTGAAACGCCTCCTGACAAATATCTCTCCTCCAATCCTCAGCGAATTCCCTGCCCCCCTTCCTCCCTGCTGCTTTCACGCCTAACACGAGCGTGCAAAGACAAAGATCCCCTGTGGAGCCTTAACAGACTGTTGGGGTAAGTGCTGTTAGCGAGTCACACCTATGAAGGTCGGCACGGTACACGAGGGGGTGGGTGGGGAGCATTATGCCCGACCGCCTTTGTCTCCCCAATGGCGATGTTTTTGCACACCGCCCCAGGTACTCATTTGAGGCTGAGTCAACTTAGGGGTGGCCCATGACCGGTTCAGATAATCGCCAATGGTGTTGGTGGCCGTGAGCAGGAATCGAACTCGGGTCGCCGGGTTTATAGAGCAGCGTAGCGCTAACCGCTCCAACTACCGCTCCCCACATGATGCTTACACACAAACATAAGTAAAGAAACTAAAGAAACTATGGCAAATATTCCAATAATACATGCACACACAAAGATTAGTACGGAAACACGAACGCAAGCACAGCGTGCGAGTTATAAGATCTACGTGACCTTCAGAATGTACTGCAAAATGTTCCCCACGTCAGTATTCACTGAAAAGAATGCACCGAGCAGTGTTAAAGTCCAGCGAAATCTGCATCCGTGTTGATTACAACTAGGGGCGCGTTGAGTGCAGCAATACGCACACGTGTGTGCGTGTGCGCGTGTTTTGTATTATTTCAATTGAAGGTAACATTGCTTCGATGCCTTTTCAAAGAATATGTGCGCTCAATTTTTTAAAATTCACAACATACTTCAGCATTTAACACAAAAATTCCGCCACGCGAGAGAAAATAAACAAAATGTATGCATTGTCTATCCTCTTACAATCGGCAGTTTCATATCCTTTTAAAACATGTCTTGATTTAACTACTTCCCCTCTCGGAGGAGCATTGGACCATGCTCAGCTCAATTTCGCAGCCCCAACACAGTGGTGTAAAATTCCACGTTCCAATGTTTGAGACCAAGTCTATCCATAGTAGACCAATGTTGACTTCTCACGATGCAATAATCCTTGTATTTAACTGGATGAATAGTTAAGCTGTGTCAATATCAGCCTGAAGTTGGGAGTCGAGGGCTCAACCACTCTACTGCCCAGATGGAAACAAGAGCATGTGACAACGCACAGAATGTGAGATCCAATTATTTTGCACACACACAATAAATAAACAAAAATCTACTTCAAACTAAATACACTATATCACTCAAACAATTTGTCAGTGTTTTAATTTTTCTAATGTCATCTCGGTGGTGGCGACGCTGGTGGCGGCAGCGACGGGGGTCATCATGATTACGGCAGCAGTTTTTGGATGTTTACAATCTGCGTGACGTTTTGCCAGCAATTACAAATATATTTATCAGACGACAACCAGATTTGGCTGTCGCCTGATGGAGCTAGTTGTAATTTATGGCGAAACATCGTCCTCAGATTGTAAATGTGGATTTGCTCTCCAATACACCGGTGTGCTATACTCGTAGCAGGAAGTTATTTTTCCTCAATTACATTCCTTAAATAATTATAAAATAGAGCAAGTCAAGATCTATAAGTATCTTGGAGTCATCCTGGATTCAAAACTGAATTTTTAAGATCACATTCATTATATTGGTAAAAAGACTAAAAAAAGTTGGTTTTCTTTATCGACACAAGCACTGCTTCCCCCCTATGTTCCGTTTGGAATTGATAAACGCTACCATACTGCCTCTACTTGATTACTGTGACATCGTGTATAAATCAGCTGCAGGGTTTGATGGTACATGTTGTTTATGTCGTTTATTGTGAAAATTCGGTCACAGTTTCTATGATCACTGTTAAATTGCTTTTATGGCTTTTAAGTTGGTGATTTCGAAAAGTTTTTTGGTTTGGCCATGTTTGTTTGTTGTAGTACTGAGTTAGACTGATGGCCTTAATCTAAGTTGTCTTGTGGTTGTTGTTGTTGTTTGACTTGCATTCCACTGGGATTTTTGCACACAGCGTTGGTGTACGGTGCTTTTTCTGGAATATTTTGCTGTTTTCTCCTGGATTTTCTGTTTGCACATAGTCACACTCACTTTAAGATGTTTTCTTGTTCATGTTTTTGTTTTTTTGTTTGTTGTGGTTGCACCCGATTCAAGAGACGAATGGCTCACAGGACTATACCAAATAAATGAAACTGAAATGAAACTGAAAAAACTGAATTGGCAAGTTCTGTTTACATAACAAACCTTACTCAATGGCTGTGTAGGGTTGTGGCGGGTTTAACAACACATTCATATTTACGCGATCTAACCCAAAACACCTATATTATGGATATTGGTTGCGCATGTTAAACTGAAGTTAGACATTGTCCTCGTCAAAGTGGAAAGAGTCAAGATGGTTGCTGTGATAAGATAAACATGTGGACAGGTAAGTCTACTTCTTCTTACGTATGGCTGATGTAGATGCAGAACAACAACTACAATTTCACATTCCGGTGGTCAAGCTAGACAACTACGTCAGGATCACCAGCAGAGCATATCGCTGTAATGTCTTCATCGTATTTGCGTATCGGGGTATTGCATCATTATGTTGTGTACGGTCTGTTCTGGATGACCAGTCGCACACTACTACTGTAGAGAGTTGTATTTAACATTTGTGCATCAGGTTTGTGTGGTGTGTGATTTAGAGTGGACCAGAAAAGTAATGAATTTACCTTGTCAAGATTGGAAAGGAGGTAATGATTCATTTTCTAACCAACACCAATGATGTGTTCACCGGTTATCGCGTTGCATGAATGAATAAAGACTCTTTTGTGACTACATATGTCTTAGCATCTTTGTAAACTCCCTGGCATCAGCTGTCTATATGGAGGCTGCCTGCAACCCCCTCCCCCCTTCCACAACCACTGCCCACTTATTCTGTCTTTTGATCAACTTGACATCAGTCCAAAGATGCCAAGTTTTGTGACCAGAGGAAGAGGCTGGGGCCTAAACAGTAATGGGTGGGGGTGGAGAGTAAACCGGAAAGGGCGGGGCTCAAACAGGAAGGGGCAGGACCTCAAACAGAAGCCCAAATAAGCAACCTAAATTTACACGAGGCCGAAAAACATACAAACCCGCAACTGAAGAAATGAGAGTAAAGTACTTCAAACGTAACATTCACTTTATTTAAGGAAATTAAAGCATATCAATAAGTGTAGCATGCAGCATAAAATCAAATGCAATTGTGTCCACTGGTCAACGAGTATAATGTATGCTATTAAAAAGAAAAAGAAATACCAGATTGGTTAAATAATGTGTGGCTTTCGACATGGAAATATGATATTACTTTGCTAAGCATAGCTTAGTCGATATATCGTCGCTGGATTACAGAAACCGTGAAGCATAGGTATTCGTAGTCAATACACTTATACAGTAACTTAAAGTGTCGTTTCTTTATCATTGCTGGAGACCGTTACGGTGATAATTGAAGTATTAGAGTCATCCATGAATGCCCGGATATGCACATTATGGTTACAATCATCAAATTCAAAGGAATTTCCTGCACAAGTCTTGTTCGCACTGTCATACATTTCTCTCAACGATCGATCATCAACAGTGAAATTGGATGAGCAATTTTCGACAGACACTGAATACTCGTTTTTGTAAAAGAAGGAAAATGGGACGCTGAACATTATGCGCAAGCACTTTGTATTTTTCTCGCCGAAGCTGCAGGCCATGATGCCATAGCAGCCAACCAGAGAGAATTTACTCTTGCGGAATGTGAATATTTCGCTGTGTTTCGGCAAAATGCCCCGGCGTGGAATTCGTACTTCCACTCCATTTTCAATGTGATGCCTGAAGTAGAGAAATAGAACATACAATTAACATCTTGGGATATTTTCAGCAGGTGATGGAAACAACCCCAGAAACAATGCATTCTTCCGTTTTTTATTCATCAGAAGTGAGCAATCGACCAGGTTAAGGATGACCAAATGCTATAAAATGTGCTGGTTTATTGATACAATATAGACCCAGCACGACATATAAAATATATTGCAAGTTATGTGAGACATGAATGTGCAGACAAACAAGTAAAAAATGCTTACTTGACACTTGTGAATGCACCAGGAGTTGAGTTTTCAATGACAACAGCAACTTTTCGCGTAGAGTCTATGTTCCGAAGTCTAATTTTTGCTAACTTCACCATTTCCTCTAAGCTCTTTGCCATGTATGTATTGATCACCGCCACAAAAAATATGTAAACGCTTGTCAAAGCACACAAGATTATTTTGTTATTATAAATCTATGTTTGATCATGAAAAGCTGCAAGCCAATGTACCGGAAAGAGAAAACATTCACTGAGTCATGTAGCAGACAAAATAATCTATTCAAAATAATGACAATGCAATTTACAACGCACTAAATATTTCACAGACACACATTTGCGTGACTCTGAGGCGCGCAAGCCAGGAAAAGAGGTCAAAGGTGGATCCTTTAATCGTCCCTTAAAAGCCGGTGTAAATCGAATGCTGAAAATGTGCAACAGGACGATGGCGTTCCAGGTGGCAGGGGCTACCACGGATACATGATGCTTGACAGTGACGGTCCTGGTCCCTGGTGAAGAGACGCGAAGGTTGTAATTCACACTACAGAGATTAAACACGTAGGCTTTCGCGACCAATATTATTCATAATAAACGTTTTTGGGTTAGATCGCAAATTGCCCGATGATGCTGGATGTAATTAACAGCGAAACGTCGTCCTCAAAAATTTCAACTGTTGTGGATTCACTCTTCAACACACCGGTGGGCTAAAGTAGTGAACTATTTGTCTTTTGTCAACGTGACACTTTTTTGCTGATTGGCCGTGTCGGGTGGTGGAGGGTTACGACACATTTATAAATAACGCGATCTAACCCAAAAACGTTTATTATGACTACAGAGATTCCTTCCATTGAGCTGCAGTGCAGGGTAACTGGAGTGAAGAGAGATACAAAAAATACTTGTTTTTTTCCCATCTTCGGGATATCTCCCATATCCCTTCTCTCTGCTTCGGATGCAGAAAAGCTGCTCCATGACTTAATCTCATCTCGCATAGACATTTTTCGATGTCTGACTACTCCCCTGGCGTGGCTAAGAAAGTGCTCATCAATTTGCAGAATTTTCAGAATGCGGCTGCTAGGGTGTTAATCAGAACAGATTGTTCTTTACTTCATATTACACCCATGTTGGCCTCCCTGCACTGGCTTCCAGTCTCACATAGAATCCAGTTTTAAATCCTATTGTTAGCTCACCAAGCGGTGAACCATCTTGCCCCAGCCTACATTGTTGACATACTGATGAAAAGCGCTACATAAATTGAATTATTATACCAACAGTAGAGGCAGGCGATCTTGTAGCTGAGCCTACGAGGGAATCTAGCTGGGTACGCGGTCCAAACCTTCCCAAATACCCTGGCTGACGGAGGTGTTGTGGCTGGCTGAGAAAAAGCGACAGGCCCACTCCCACCGTCTACAGGATCCCACGTCAGAGAATGAGGAGGCATATCGCAGCCTTTGCTTGGTGGTTTGGAAAGCCGTGTGGCGCTGCAAGGAAGAGTGGTGGTCGCGGGTTGCTGAGGAGATGGAATCTGCCTCAGTAGCCCGTGATCATAATTCACTCTTTAACTTCATCAAAAAAGTAACTTGCAGTGCAACATCTATCACCACCATCCTTAGGGGAAAGAAGGATGATCTGAACTCCGACCCGCAGGAACAGGTTTTCAGATTTGCTGAGCATTTTTGTGATGTCTTGGGGGATGGGAAATCCCTCAACCCAGAAAACACCATGGGGCAAAGTGAGGATGACCCTGCTGAGGCTGTGGTGCCTCATGTAGTGCCAGATGTAGCCAACCCTTGAGTGTCATCTGTTGAGCAATTAATGAAGGTGATCCAGAGTCTGAGACCAGGAAAAGTGCATGGCAGAGATGATCTCCGAAGCGATATTCTGAGAGAGGTCTGGTGTTTGCATGCAGACTGTCCTCTATGGCATCATTATAATAGTCTGGACCACTGGATGGGTTCTGCAGGATTGTAAGGATGCCCTGTTGGTCCCCCTCTTTAAGAAGGGGGACCGCACAGACTGTAACAACTACAGGGGCATATCCCTCCTCAGTGTGCCGGGTGAGGTCTTGGCAAGGATTATTCAACATCGCCTTATCAAGCACTGTAGAGAGAGGCTTGCGGAGCCCCAACATAGTTTCAGGCCAGGGCGGTCCTACATAGGTGCCATATTTTTTGTTTGCTACAGCAGAGCGGTAGGGAATTCCAACAGGACCTACATCTCTGCTGTAATGACCTGGTCAAGCCCTATGATGCCATCAGTAGGCCAGGGCTGTGGGTTGTTCTTCGTGCTTTTGGGGTCTTTGACTGTTCACAATCGTTTGAGGATCTTCATTATGGTGGGCAGGCCCGGGTAAATTTGTGTGGCTGGGAGTCGGAGCCATTCCCTGTTCACGTTGGGGTGCAAAAGCTATGTCCTCTGGCTCCTGCACTATTTAACATGCTCTTCGGCCACGTTCGAGAAGCCTTACATGGCTATACCAGTGTTATTCCTATCTGGTACAGATACAATGGAAGGCTGATCGAAGCCCGGGGGAGATTCAAAGATGGCTCCCTATTGGTCAACCATGCTCAGTGCGTTTAATGATCTGGTGTTTGCGGCTCACAAGAGTTGGAGCATGCCACGAAGAGGTAACGCCTTACAATCTGCCCCACCAAAACTAAGAACCTGCCTGGATATTTTGTATCGTCAAATACTTTTAACTCCCCATGAGTGATTGGGGAGATTGTGTAGAGAGTGGAGACGTTTCCGTACCTGAGTGTAGTGTGCTTATGACCAACTCCGAATCAGGTGAGCGGATTTTTTTTCTCAGCTGCACAACGCTATGTGGAAGCTTTATACCTACTCTTTAGTTATTTCGGTAAAGTCACGCACGTAGAAAATAATAGATCAATACGTTTCGATCGCAACACAAGCAATCGTGACTTTACCGAAATAACTAAAGAGTAAGGATTCTTGCAGTCCCGAAAACTTCAAATCAAGCTTTATATGTACCTGGTCTGTACTTAGCAGTTGTAATCAAATTACGTGCGTACCTTTGTAATGTGGAAGCGAGGTTTTTTTTCCTTTTCAAAAGTGGTATTTTACACCAGCCACCTTAGAACTGAAACGACAAAGATTCTGTGTAAGCTTTATAAAAAATATTTTACAATACAATTCTCTTCTCAAAATAAGCAATTTCCACACGGGTGAGACACATCCAGTGAATAATTGAAATACTACATACTTAATATGGGTTAGAGATGTTCATAGTTTGTTTGCCAACTGCTAGATTAAAGCCTCCCCATACTGTTGGTCAGTGGGGTTGTATGCCCATACTTCACCAGGCTGGTCGGTATGGGTTCGTTGAAAGGGGGTTGGAAGATTGAATATTTTCAAATGATACACTACGAATATGGGAATGTTTATTTAATAAAGTGCAATAAATTATTCACAGACATTAACAATAGCCCCCGTTCGCCACTAAGTAACGGTGACATCCCCACGGCACTTGTGCCAGGCTAGGTGCACCTTAAAGACATGTGAAGTTAAAGGTTCGTTGGCAGGAGGTCACGGGACTGACCCAGATGCCATGGGTTGACTGACTGAGTTGACTGGCTGATGCACCACTTTTCTACTTTTTAAACTCTAAGCGCTCTGCCCATTGTGAGCGTCGCTCCTCCGCCCTCTGTTGTTGCTGGAGGGCGACTGCCTCCAACTGCCCAGTAGCGTCCTTCACGAGCCTCCTCCACAGAGGCCGATCTTGACACCGCTGGTACCAGTCATCGGCAAGTCCAATCAGCTCCACATGTACTGGATCAGCCCCATCCCTTTTTTACAGACATCGCATACTCGTTTTACCTTACCGTGCACACACATTTAGACCGCCAAACAGTATTGCGAAACCAAATACAAATACAACAGTGGAAAATGACATTCCAACCTAATGCTCTGGTTCTTTAAATGCAACCCCCCCTTGTTTATTGCGCCGGGCTTATTATCACCCACCCGAAGTGTGTGCAATGCCTTCTGTTTAAGACTGTTGAAGTGATCCAGTACCTTGGTTTGCAATTGGTCTGTGTGTCTTTAACAAGAATCTGGAGGGGGTTTTTTTTGGCAATTATTCGGCGCTTTAAATAAGATAACATATCGGTGAACCAGACGCATTTAAATTGAAACTCCGCGTTAGCATTCCGAGGTACAATGTCCATGTAAAACGCGTAGTGTGCGTGTAACTTTAAAACTCACCTGCGTGTACGCACGTTGTGGGCAGAGACAACCCCAAGACGTGTTGCTCTCTTCTCTCAGGTGATACGGACAAGTCCTTTGGACGCGCACATTCCACGCTCGTAAAAGGAGGTGCCTGCGCCCATAGTTCCGCCCCTTTACACAGCAGATGGACCAAGTCAGCCAGTTTCGCGAACAATATTATCCACAATCGATGTTTTTCGGGTTCGATCGCATAAATATAAATCTTACTTTTAAACCCGCCACCAACCGACACAGCCAATTACTAAGGTTTGTCACGTAAACAAAACGTGCCAATTCGTTATGAGTTTAGCACACCGGTTGTGTGTTGGAGAGTGAACCCACCCACCACATTTACAATTCGAGCACTATGATGTTTCGCCAGTAATTGCAACCAGCATCATCAGGCGGATAGCCAGAGTTGTGGAGAAATCGTGTTTCGGTCTGAAATAGAGTTATATGTGTAATGTCATTTGTGGGCCAATCAGGTGCGAAGGCCATGGTGGGGGGCAGTGGTAATACATGCATACATATTGCAATGGTAATGATAATGTAAATCCATTGGAATGTACATGCATTTATTCATGTAAGGTGCACGGAAAGCCATTGCAGATTTTATGCACACACGCATGTTATGGCAATGCATATCCATTGTAATTAACGCCCCCCCCCCCCGTCTTCGCACCTGATTGGCGGTGGTTTACATGCTCTGGATCTAATTCAATAACATCTGTCTCTGATGTTCTTTTATTACTACACCCCTTTAGTTAACTTTCCCTGATGTCTGTTTATATTCTTTCACATTTCGGATCTATAACACCTAATGAGCTGACACTTTTGTATACAGACTCGTCTCGCGTGACAATTCATGATTTCAAATATACAGTATTACAATTATCCAGACAACAATTAACTATAGGCATTGTCTGAATTACAAGATCAAATTTAATTGTGTAAAAATACTTAAACTATAATTATAAATTTATTTACAAGATGAATTTTAAGGTGTTTACAAATCAAATTTTATTATTTCTGGGGTCAAAATAATTTAGATGCTATTTATTTTAGCAATATTTAATTAAAAGCATTCAACCAATTACCCATAAATCTTATATTTAATTTGGGTACGGATAAACAAGGAGACGAATGCTACTTTTATTTATTTACTGGACTTCAACATTGCATAAGTGTACTGTAATGAAAATTACCAGAAATTACGTTAAAGTCTTATTTAAGTAAATTACAATGAGACTTAAACGTAAAAAAGAATGTTGTTCAATATTTCAAATAAATTAGGTAAAAAAAACGAGTTTTTCAATGCACACACTTTTATTTGCACTCAATAGTAGAAAAAACTTTTGACCCCATAATTGATCAAATGTGATGTGCTGAATAAAAGTGGGTAGCTTCCATAAATAAAATAAACAGGTGACCTGAGCACGTTATGAATTCATCAGAGTGCACTCGGCTAAACGGATGCAATGTTTATTGCACCCGTGGGTGCTGCTGAGTTTAAGTGTTTTGGTTATAACAAGTGTAGTGACATAGTGCTGACTGTTGGAGAGCAGCAGCAACTGCAGGTGGGCACTTAGTGCACACGCCACTGACCATATACGCGATGTGTGTGCCGGCAGGGCAGAGGAACTGGAGCAAGGGTCATGATAGACCTCGCGCAGAAGCCCCTGGAACCCTCTAGAGTGTTCGAGAAGGGAAGCGTGGCTAGGGTGGAGCCAAGCCGCACCAATGGGAATATGAGCAACAGAGAGCGAGAAATATGGGCTGCCGGTTCAGGGATTGGACTCGTCTCGTAATCGCTGTTGTTGTTGTTTCCCTTGTCGCTGCCGACTTCACCCGATCATTGCATGGCCGGACAGTAGTTGGCTGTCCCGGTTGATGCCGTCGGTGCAACACGGACAGGGTCGTGTCTGGGACGGAGCGCGTGGCAGCGGAGTCGTGTGTGTGAGAGAGAGGGGGCCCGAGTAATGGTGTGAGCTCGGCAACAACAACGAATAAAGAGGGCAGAGCGGTGCGTCCTGTGACCACTTCGTCTCCGGCTGACTGTGTGTGTGACGCACGCCACCCGCATGCTCAGATGACACTACATTTGGTGTCAGAAGTGGTGTATCAAAACCAACCAGTAGTGCAGTCGAGACGAGGATAGTGAGACGGTCGACCATCCGACTTCCCCGGGATCCAGAAACCTGGTTGAAAAAAACCCACAGCATGCTGGGCGTCGACGGCGAGAGTGGCTACGCCAAAGAGGCAGGAGCGGCTGCGCATTGACCGACAGAGAGCTGCTAGGCGTCGACAGAGAGAGAATCAGCACATCGATGAAAAAGAGTGGGCGAGCGTCGATGGCTAGAGTGTTACGTCAGGTGGCGGGAGCGGGAGAGCGACAACGGAGAGAGAAACTGCACGTCGACAAAGAGAGAGCGGTTGCGAGTTGTTGGAGAGAGAGCGACTGCACGTCGATGGAGAAAATGGGGGCTGTGCATCAACAGGGAGAGCGGCTGACATTTCCCTGTAGTCAAGTGCTGACCAAGCAGCATGGTGGGAAACCGCCATGTGGAGAGGGGCGCGGGCCGGCACGAGGCGCGGACCCCAGGGGATGGCGCAGAGGAAAGCTGGGAAAACAGAGCGGGAGCTGCCATCAGAGCCGGAGCAGGCGGCTCTGGATGGGGGACCACGCACATGGTCGGCGCCATTTTGTCATCGGAGGACCTCCCGTGGCTGAGGGGCGCCATTTTGAGGTGAGAGCGGGAGCGTGCATGAGGAAGCGCGGCGGGTAAGGGAGCTGCAAGAGGCCGCTCCTGATCTGGAGTGGGAGGCTCACACGAGATTCCTCCAAAGGGAGCGGAGGGAGGACGAGACGCCCTATGCCTTCCGGGCAGCGCTGCTGGTGCCAGGACTTGGAGGCATACCCACTCGTGGGTGAGGGGGCACTCGACCTTCATGTGGCGGAGAGGCTGTGGGGGCTGGCGAGGAGATTAAGTGTTGCCATGCCCTCCGCCGTCGGCACGGAAATTTCTTCCTCGACGGTGGCCAGAAATATGCAAGTCTATAAGGAGCGACAGCAGCGGGCAAGGTGAGAGGCCACAGCGTGGAATTTTCAGTACTGACATCCCCCGCTGGAGGACCCGCAGTGGGAGCAGCTCCCCCTGACATGGAGAGCCGCACCAAAGTGCTTTGTGTGTGGTTGGTCGGGCCACACTGCTGCGGACTGCCGGGGTGACGAGTGACATAGGGGAGTCACCTGCGCGCTTTGGGCAACCGGCACAGTTAACTTAAGCCCCATCGGACCGGGTTTCTGGGGCCTACCGAGACCACCAAGTGCGAGGCCTCGAGGACCGGACCAGGTGGGCGACGCCGTGCGGCGAGGGGCCACGCCCATTGAGCCGAGGACTCTGTCTCTATCCTCTCTTGGCCCTCCGGGTTCCGGAGGTGCAGGACCCTGCTGGGACGGGGGTGACTGGCACCATGGACTGGATCACGTGAGTTACGTCCCCGATTGGGGGGACTCTCCCTTGCACTGAGAGGGGACTCGGAGGGTGAATGGGTGTTGGGTTTAGATAAAAGGGAAATGGAGGCGATGTGCCAATTCGCTAGCTCGAGGCGCCATATGTGTGTGGGGGTGGGGGTTAGCGATTCGCGGATGGGGGGCTGTGAGAGAGTTTTCGGTTCGCGAATTCAGGGACGCCGTGTAGGGAAGTGTTGGATTGTTATTGGGGGGGCATGTTGTTGATGCGGGAGATATTGCGGTTGTAACAGGATTGTGAGGGATTTGTATTTGTCATTGAGGTTCCTCGGCTTAAGGGTGTTGCCCTGCCTGCTGCCGGTTGCTGCTGCTGTGGCAGTTCCTCCGGTTTTTCCCTCCACATTTAGAATCAACATCACCACGTATTTAGAGTATTTGGCTGCTGCGATAAATGTCCACGTTATGATGATGATAAGCCACTTCGTTGAACTAATGTTTGTGATACCCAAATTGCACCTGAAAAAAGAGCTACATTGCAGCTCAGTGGGGTGTTACCTGGTCAAGTAAAATAAAAAATAGTTTAGTAGTTAGGTAAGTAAGGCCATGCGTGTTTCTACGGGTGAGGAACAAAGACATCCCTCAGTGCAAAGTTTACCGAGACACGTCCAGAGCTTGCCAGTTTATACGGGAACTTTAACATTTCATTGGTTGGGTAGAATCTGCTCAAGCGACAACAACTCTCCGTTAGAGGAAGTTGCCAGAATGAAACTATGGCTGCTTATTATAGGGTGGGCAGTGAGTAACTACCTGATTTGTCATAGCGGTATTTTGTGTAAAAAAATGTATTACTCTTTCGTTCTTTCGGTAAAGTCACGTCGACAGAAAATGAATAGATCACGACGTTTCGATCGCAAGACAAGCAACCGTCATCAGGTGAAACACACAAAACAGGAGAACTGCTGACGTAAGAGAAAGAGCTGTTGCAACAAGAGTTTATATAAGCTTTTGGTGGGTCCAACCCAAGGGTAAGTTGGCGGAGTTAGAGACGGAATTTGTACGTAAATGTAAATGTGAGAGATTAGCCCTCGTTGCCAGACAGTGGTGGCACTCGCCGCAAATTCATAACTGTGAAGGAGAGGATTGGTGGACGGTGGTTGTGGTACTCCAGCACCAGAGAAAGAGAGACTTGTGACAGCTCAGACATCATTCGAGAACGAATATAGCAGTATTTGATTGCACTCAATACACCACACAAAGTACGTGACACAAATTAACTGAAATACCATGCTGGTGATCTCGTCAAGGAGCATAAACTATCATCACGCAAACTCCGGTCATCTTCCTCGCAGCAGCAGCGACGTCTTTTGGCGAACCATCAAACATCGCTCTTCCGATTTTAGGAAACCACTGAAGCTATGCACTTCTAAATCATATAGATTGACAAACTCATTTCTTTAGAACTGATTTTTGTGTTTAGTTTCTTGTCCTTCCCCCACACCTCCAATTCGTGCGGTTGGCTACGTACAGTGGTGCGAAAAAAGTTCAACATACAAACATACGTATGTATGGTGAAATTCTTTCGCAC